AAGGTCCTGAGTTGATCCCCGGTACCATTAAACAAACAAGCAAACAAACAAAAAACCAAAAAGACACATTGTAACATCTAGGATGGGCTGTGCGCCATGCCACACTGTAATGTCCTGTGGTGGACAGCAAGCCATGGCTGTGCCAGAGCATGCAGTTCAACCCAGAGAATTGAAGAGGCACGGACGGGATTTATCTCAGTGGGGCAGCTGCCTGCCTGGAGAACTCAAGGTCTGGAGTTCACTCCGTACCAAAAAAAAAAAAAAAAAGTTTAAAATAAAAGAAGACAGTTTATTTGGAGATGAGATAACAGACAGCTACTCTGGGACCAGAAGGGAGAATTTAAGAAAGTGAATTGCCTGTGGATTTGTCTGAAGCATCTTTTATTGACATTTTTGTCCTCCTAGGCTCTTGAAATCGAATTGGCTGTCTGGCTTGTCTTTCATCCTAACCTTGGACTTCCGGCCAGGCTACCTTTCCCTGTCCTTTGGTGGAGGGTTAGATTTGGTTGAGGGCCTTATAGACTGGTAGTTTAGGCTAAAGGATTAGGTAAAGGGGAAGTTTGTAATTCTTATGTTAATTGAGCTAAGCTCTGAGTTCTTTGCTTTTATGTTTCTAATTCCTCAAGAATCTAGCTGCCTTTGCCCTTCTAATTGCTGGAATCTGGCTGCAGAGGTCTAAACTGCCTTACTAATTATTAGTTAATGCTCAGTGAGACCGTCAACCTCTTTTCCCTACTACAGTACCCTCTACACCATCACCGTTACTTCTCAGAAGAACCCCGCATACACTGTGAACACCCTTGTCCCGTCATTCTTGTCCTTCTCTGAAGCAGTTCTAGAAGACTTTCTTTATTTCTTTAGCTGTGCCTTTGTAGCTGCCTTGATGTTGATGTCTTAGATCAGTTCAAAATGTTTGCCTTTCATGATTATTTTGATTTGGAGAGCCAGAACTCTTGGGGTGTCAGAGGTGGTGAACAAGATGGCTTTTTTTTTTTTTTTTTTTGAGATAAGGTCTTGCTATGTAGTTCAGGCTGGCCTTGAACTTGTGTAGTGATCCTCCTGCCTCAGCCTCCTGAGTTTTGGGATTACAGGTTCGAGCCACTCAAGTGTGTATTTTACGAGCCTGTGTTTCCATTAGATGATGCATTTCCATTAGTAGAAGCATTCACTATTTTTTCCTACACTTGTAAAGAGACTCAGGAAAGAGGACATTTAAACAGTAACTGTATATTTTGATAACCTTGTATACCAAAAGTATAGTGGATATACCAGAAATTGCAAGGTTAATGTAAAAAAAAAAATATTGGTATCGTGGAATCGTATATGGGCTTGCTGGTTACAGTGGTCTCTTTTTTAGTTATAGAAGTTTAATTTCATTATGCTCTCAGATCTCTTGTCATCTTCCCTTACTCTTGAACTGTATACCTAAAACTATTTTAGAAGAACCTCTTTAGGTGCAAAAATCCCCCTCCCTCCTGCCCGCCCCCACTCTGTTGCCCAGACTGTCCTTAAACTCCCAGTGATTCTCCTGCCTCCCCACTGCTGAGATTACAGGCGTGCACCATCATGCCTGTCTTGAGAAGGTGATCTTGTAAATTGTGTTTTATGTATGTATTTCTCAAATCCTTATTAAGGCTGATAAATCCTGTCTTCATCTGAAAGGATTACTGGCGTGCCATAAAATATTAAGCTAAATTTCTTTGCATGGATTGTTATAATTTTGCACCAAAGTTTTGTGTTAATTTTGATAATTTATAAACTAAAATATGACTTCAAAAATTACTGTTATTTCTGCTGGTATTGGGTTGAAATCCTGTTAGGTCACTTATTCTGTGATGATTTTCATGTAACATACACAATTAGAAAAATACTTTGGTCCTTAATGTTATTCTTTGTAAACTAACAAGAATGTGATTTTGACACAGATTTTTAATTGCTTTCGTCCTCAGGGAATCAGAAACAACTTGTGTAGCCTCTGTCTAGAGTATAGTTACTCATTTTGCTAATTACCAGATCTCAAAATGATGACAGCCTCTATAATTAGAAAGATACAAGAATATTGTAATACATTAAATATATGGGTGCTAATGAAGTATCATTCACAGAGTGAATTTTTACGACATTTAAGAAAATAACCTTTGGAAATTATTCTCACCCTGGTTGATTTTATTTTTGAATCATTTCTGTTAAATTTCTTTAAGTTGTTATTGCCAAGTTAGTGCTGCAACTAAAGAAAATGTTTACCTGATATTTCTCAGATCTCTGAGGATTTCGAAGCTTCAGCTTCCTACTTAATTGCTTTCCCAAGGAATACATTTTCAAGTGCTAAGGAAAATAACTGAACTTTTAAATAATATAGTTCTTGTACTTTTTATTTTGAAAGGGTTCAAATAAACCTCAGCTGGGAATTTATGTAACTGCTTGCAATCTGAATCTTATTACTTCTTGTTGGAATGCAAATGCTGTTTTTCTGTGCGAAAAATGTGATTTATAATCAACTTTACTGAGGGGAGCTAAAAGTTTTTACTATTTTGGTTACATTATATCATATCCCTTTATTTTATTTATTTATTTATTTATTTATTTATTTATTTATTTATTTATTTATTATTTTTTGAGACAGGGTCTCACTATGTAGTTGAGACTGACCTGGAACTCACTGTGTAGCCCAGGCTGGTCTCAACTCAGCAATCCTCTTGCTTCAGCCTCCAGAGTGCTGGGATTACAGGCGTGCCCCACACCACGCCCAGCTATCATATCCCTTTTAGACATTTAAGTCCTAACTCAAGTTTCACAATGTTTCTAAGTGAGGGTTTGATTATTTGGCTAATTTGAGAATTATTTTTTCCTTTTTCAAGCTTTTCACTTCTTAGAGCCTTTTTATTCTAGTTATCTTTCTTAATAGTTTTTTCACCATTACTATCTATCTATTTATTTATTTTCTCTTATTTAAAACTCATGACTTAGTGAGACCAGACTTTGCCAAGGATGTTGGAGTTCCTGTGGTATTGAGCATCCAAAATATGTAAAATTCTTGGAGTACAGCGTTCAACTGATAGGAAACTACCAAAATAGAAGGGCATCTCTCTCTTTTTCTGTCATTCCTTGTATCGAGAAGAGGAGACAGACTTCACAGGGATCTGTTTTTAATGAAAAACATTATCTTTTAAAATGAATTTTAAAATACTATACTGACATTGTGTCTAAACTTCCTAGGTGACAGCTGTGTAGTGTTGGTGTTTTGCTTTTGATGTGTTGCTTTTAGTATTCATTTTATTTGACACTTCAGGCTAAAACAAGGAAAAATTATGTATACAAGTATATATATGTATACATACATACATACAAAGATACAAATTCACTCATACAACTTCTATAGGTTTTTGAGACCTGAGATTGTATATACTTCTTTTTGGCACCAGGGATTGAATTTGGGACCTTGCTCTTGCGAGGCAGGTGACAGAACCTCTGAGCTAAATCCTTGGCCCTGTATATGCTTTTGTTTTGGGGATAGAAGGCATATACATAAAAGTGTCTACATTTAAACTCACCTTTAGGGCTGGGGAGTTAAGTTAGCACAGTGGTTCTGCTGCCTGCCTTGCAAGTGCAAGGTCCTGAGTTCAATCCCCGTACCAAAAAAAAAAAACAAAACAAAACAAAAAACCTTTAACTTTTAGTTTATAAATTTTTAGACCAGTTAGACATTATGTTAGGTCTAAATATTTGCAGACAAACGAAAAACAAGAAAGCCGGAGTGTGGCAGTGCACACCTGTAATCCCAGCACTGCGGACAAAGGCTGAGACATGATCTGAGTTCAAGACTAGTATGAACTACACAGCAAGATCCTGTCTCTCTCCCTGCAAAAGACTAAATATTTGATCACTTATTTGCATATTCAGACATAGTATCATATTTCTGTGGTACTGGGGATTGAACCCATTGCCTTTTCACTGAGCTATAACTCCAGACCTTTTTTATTTTTAATTTTGAGACAGGGTCTTGCTCAGCCAGTAAATTCCTCAGGCTGGGATCAAATTTATAGTCCTCCAGCCTCAGCTATTTTATATGGTTTATTTGGCTGAACTGATCTGCTTTGAAAGTCATATCAAAACCATATATTGGCTGGGGATTCAGCTCATTGGTTCCACAGCTTGCTTCGAAAGTGCAAGGTCCGGATTTCCATCTCCAGTACCAAAACAAAAAAAAGCAAAAGCAAAACAAAACAAAACAGAAAAACAAGTAGAAAACAAAGTAATTCATTTCTGAAGTACAGTAGGCTCGATTGACTGATTGATTGATTGATCGATTAATACTGGTAATTGAATTCAAGGCTGCTCTACTACTAAGCTACATCTCCAGCCCTTTTAAATTTTGAGACAGGATCTCCCTAAATTGATCCCACTGCCTTGAATATACAATCCTCCTCCCTCTGCCTCCTGTTTAGCTTGGATTACAGGCATGTTCTACTGTACCTGGCCATCGAAAGTTTTTATAAAATATGAGAAAGCAAAACTCTGGGCAATAAAAAGTTACCTATTAACTTTTCATAGACAATTAAGAAGTGTGATTTTTATTCTACTGTTTGTATTCTGTACAATAAAACACATCTTTAGTTATTGAGCTAAACAACAAATCAGACTTTCATCTTTTTGCCCCAGTGTGGAGTATTTTTAATTTAAACAAAGTCTAGTGGGTTATTAGCTGCCCCTTAAAGATTAGGCATATTCTCTATAGTGATAGGGCAGAATGACATTAAATGCCAGAAGAGTTTACCTGTATTATTGCATACTTAAACAGTTAATGCTACCATTTTTATTCCCTCATTCATTTTTTAAAATATGCAATAAGATAAGAGTTTACCAAATAGTTTGTATTATTGTTATTATTATTATTATTTATTTGTTTATATGTTTTTTGAGATAGGGTCTCACTGTGTAGTCCAGGCGGGTCTTGTGCTTCTCAGCCCAGGCTAACCCTCTCGCTGCAGCCTCCCATGCTGGGGTTATAGGTGTGCATGCCTCACCGTGCCTGGCCCTGTGATCTACTTTTCAACTCAATCTTTTATCAGTCATTGCTGGTGAGCATTTTAATTAAAGACTTTCCTGTCACTTAAACAATCTTGTTTTATACTAAAAACAAACCGTAGTAATAAATTCCAACAGTATACCCTGTTTCCCTCTTCTTCCTCCTCCTCCAGATGGCAGATTGAACCCAGGACCTCACAGGCAAGGCCATCACTCATCACCGAGCAAGCATTATCCTACCCCTCTTGATGTTCTTTAATTTTTATTTTGGGTTTTTATTTATTTATTTTTGGTTTTTGGAGACAGGGTCTCACTATGTAGTTGAAACTGACCTGGAACTCACTATGTAGCCTAGGCTGATCTCGAACTCAGAGCGATCCTCCTGCCTTAGCCTCCGAGTGCTGGGATTACAGGCGTGCACCACCACGCCCGGCCATATGGCTTGAATTTTGAATGAGTTGGTGCACCAATCTTTTATGCTTGGCTATTTTCCCCTATTAATAGAGTTTGCCTGTTCTGTTGTTGTTGTTGTGTTGTTTTGTTTTGTTTGAGACAGGGTCTTGCTCTGTAGTCCAGACTGGCCTTGAATTTTTGGCAGTCCTCTTCCCTCGGCCTCCTGAGAGCTGGAATTACAGGCCCACACCACCATGCCTGGCATTGCCCGCTTTTCTGTAAATAAATCTTTTAGTCCCCCACCTCCTTAGTACTGGAGATTGAACACAGGGCTCCTACACTGAGCTATATCCCCAGGCCTTTTTTTATTTTTAATTTTGAAGAAGATTCTCACTGAATTGCTGGGATTTTCTATCCTCCTGCCTCAGCCTTCCAGGGACCGAGCCACTGTGTTCATCCATGTGGTTTGTTGGTACTGCTTGAATTATTTTCTTAGAATAATTTTTCTGAGTATGAAGTTGGGGTAAAGGATGTTAATGTCATTAAGTTAACATTTTCTTTTCATTTAATATTAATGCATTTAGTCTTTAACATACTTCAGTTTTATCTTTAATAGAATGGTAAGGAAAGTGAAATCACCTGTAATCCTGCCTCCAGTAGTGAGAACCTATTGTTAACTCTTTTGTTAAATATATTTTCATTCTTTTAATTGCAAAGCCTATTTTATGTTTTCTGCATAACGTAATTAAGGGAGATCTCGTGTCAATTAGTAGACATCTCTACTACAGAATTTTTTTTTCCTTTGCTTTTCTCAGTTGGGTTAAAAGATTAAAATATGTCACATATGATTTGCCATTGTACCTTTTTTAAGATTAGATTTAACTGGTTCAGTGGAATGGGCATTGCCACTTAATGCCATATTTCAGTCTGCTTATTTTCCAAGAATGTAACCGTCTCTGTATAAGAAATTATCTTTGTCATCTGGATTACTTTGGTGCCTCCATATTCTGGGAGAAGAACTTTTTATCTCCAATTTTCATGCTAACTGGTTGAATCCACACTTACCCTTAGAATCTGATCCTACAAGCTGCTACTGTTGCTTGCGATACTTTACCTTCAGATTTTTCTGAAGGCATAACAATTCCTTTGGTTACACTTTTGCTGCGCTTCATTTAGTCGATGCTCTGTGCTCTGTCAAACAATAGAAGCTTTCTAAATGTCTGTCCTGTCATGGCTCTTTTTAAGGGTACCATTCAGTGGCACTGAGTACATTCACTCCGTCATGCAACCACTACTGCTGTTCCCTGCAGAACAGACCCTTTCATTAACCCAAACTGAAATTCAGTGAAACAGAGTACTTTTATACCTTCTGTGAACATTTGTCTCCACATATAGGTCACAGTTCCTGTATACTTTTTCTACTTGTTTATGTCCTTATGGCAGCATCTTCCATAATTAGGGGAATTCTCTAGAGAACAGATAAGAGAATGAGTAGACAAATTAAGGATGGTTATAAAATTGGCTTTGGGGCTGGGGATTTAGCTCAGTGGACATATCGTGCCTGCTTCACAAACACAAGGTCCTGAGTTTGATCCCCATTGCCGGAGGGTGGGATGGGGGGATGATGGCTTTGGATGTTGGTTTCCCCTCCCTACACTAAAGAATTTGTCTTCGATTTTATACTAAAAGCCAGTGTTACTGGATGGTTAAATATATAAACATTTTGTAGGTAATTTGACATTAATATAGCTGTTTTATAGAGAAATACTCCTGTGGTAGTAGAGATGTTCTTTTGCCAAGATGAGTGACTTTCAGACAGGCTGAGGTGTAGTGAATTGCTGGGGCAGAGTGGGGAAAGGTATATATATATGGGACATGTCTAATTTGAGAAAGTGGGTGTTCATTTGTAGAGTATTCTCCTGTTTGGTGTAAGAAGATTGAGAAACCACCTCCCTATACATTGATTAACTGGTTAGAGATAGGTTCATATAACCTTGCTTTTAATTGTAACGTTAGTTTTTAAATATTAGATGATTGTGAATTCTTCTAATAAGAGCTTTTGCTCTCTCCTAGGATTGGCAGCCACCATTTGCATGTGATGTTGATAAACTTCATTTTACCCCACGAATCCAGAGGCTGAACGAATTGGAGGTAACGTCCTCACTAGTGTTTTTGGGGTATTTAGAACGGTCCTTCTGAAGAGGCTTTGCAATAATTAATAATATTGGTAAAACAAATTAAGGCTATTGTAGCCATTGATTTTTGTCAGTCATTTTGTGCATATGAATCCTACATTTAAGTGATAATCACTGGAATTTAGGTTTTCAGAAGAGTCAATGTTAAACCATACAAGAGAAAGAATTCTACAGCCTAATTTTCTTCCCAGTGCATAACTTCATTTAGATTTAAAAATACATTTTAGCTTCCCAATGAAGAGTGTGGAATATGGGAGATTTTCTAGAGAACAGGAAATATCTTCAGTTTTTATGCTCCTGAAAGCTTAAAGTACAGGGTGGATGAGATTTAGGGTATCGATAACACAGAGACAGGTTGTTTACTTTAATGTTTGCAGATCTGATTTTAACACTGAACCATGTTTTGTTTTTCTACGTGGAACCAGACATCCTTACCTTGAACAGAACATGTTTAATTGCATAGCTATTATAACATATCATGTCTATATTTTTAAGTATTTCAGTGGGTTTTTTTTTTGTTTGTTGTTGTTGTTGTTTTTGTACTGGGGGTTGAACTCGGCACATTGCATTTGCAAGGAAGGTGGCAGAACCACTGAGCTAAATTCCTGGCCCTTCAGTGTGTTTTCAGATTTCAGTTTGAACTTGAAAATAGAAGGCACACTCTACCTTGAGATCTCAACAGTGGCGTGGAACGCCTGAGCACTGACCCTGAGTTTGAACTGGTGTGCAAGATAAAACTCCCTAAAGTGTCTGACTTACAATTTATAAGGAGAGGAGAGAAAAATGGCCTCTACAGGATAGTGATAATTTGTTAGAGGCATGACTTTTTAAAAAGCTTTCCTTGTTTTCTGCTATCTTTAATTTTAGGGCTTATTAAAATTGATATAGAATCACTGTTGTAGACTTTTTATATTTGTGTTTGAGCAAATGAGATAATCTTCATTTGTAGGGCCTATACTTTTAAAATATCCTGTCATAAAAAGAGCAAGTGTTTGGCATATGGGCATATAGGGTTGTCATATAATTTTAAGTAGTGACATGAAATTGTGCTTGCAAGACCTCATTTTTTTAGTGTGTGTGGTGCTACAGATTGAACCCAGGGCCCTGTACATGCTAGGCCAGGTTACTACCTTTTGAGCTACATTCTCTGCCTTTTACATTTTTATGTATGTATGTATGTTTGTTTATTTGTTTTTGAGATAGAATCTTGCTATGTAGTTAAGGTTGACTAGAGCCTCACTATGTAGCCACAGCTGGCCTAAAATCATGATTCTCCTGCCTCAGCCCTCTGTGTGCTGGAATTATAGGCATGCACCACCATACCTGGCAGAAAATTGCATTTTATTTTTTATAGTACTGGGGATTTAACCTAGGGCCTTTACATTGAAGCACAGCCCCAGCACTTTTAGAAATTTTTTTGTTTGTTTGTTTTCTTTTGGTACCACGGATTCTTTTTGGTGGGGGTGGGGTGGGGTCCTGGGGATTGAACTCAGGACTTTGCGCTTTTGAGGCAGGCGGCCGAACCACTGAGCTAAATCCTCTGCCCCCTTTTAGAATTTTTATTAAGATAGGATCTCATTGAGTTGTTCAAGCTGGCTTGGAATTTGGGATCCTCCTGCCTTAGCCTCCCAAGTAGATGAGTTAGAAAATCTAAATGAAACGCCTTTCAGAGTGACCACTCATGACAGAAGGTTTTACTGAGCATTTAAACTTCTTGCTTGATACATGGTAGGGTCTTTAAAAGAGTTTTTAGCCAAGCATGGTGACTCATACCTGTAATACCAGCACTTGGGAGGCTGAGGCAGGAGGATTGCCAGAAGTTCGAGGCCAGTTTAGGTCACATAGTGAGTTCAAAGCCAGTCTGAGCTACATATGGAGACCCTGTCTCAAACATAGTACATATGAGATAGTGATTACATTCCTCGTGGAGTGTCGTTTCACATTCTTAATTCTTTTTACATTTTCTCCTTCCCAGTAAGGGTTGAATTAAAGTTTTGTTGAGTTAACATATGATTATTTAAATTTTATTTTATGTACTTTTGGCTGTTTCTCAGTTGAATTTAGAAAGTGCTTTTGAGCATAGGTGTGATGATGCATGCCTGTAATCCCAGTATTCAGGAGGCTGAAGCAGGAGAATTGCCATGAGTCTGAGGCTAGCCTGGGCTACACAGTGAGTTCATAGATTGCCTGAGCTACACTAGACAGTAAGACCATGTCTCAAAAAACAAAACAAAAAAATGCTTTTGTGCTTTAATACTGTAAGAGATGAAAATATCACATGGGAAGGTAATAGGCAAGAGCTTTAAAAATAAGCTAGGTAAGTATCTGGTGTGGTGGCACACACCTTTAGTCTTGACTGTTAGAGAGGCTGTGGCTGGAAAATCCTCTGAGCCTTAGAGTTTGAAACTAGCCCAGGAAACAGCAAAAAACTACCCTCTCCCCAAGAAAGGAAGAAGATAGGCAGATCTGAATTTTATTTCTTTCTTATTTAGGCTCAAACTCGTGTAAAATTGAATTTCCTGGACCAGATTGCAAAGTACTGGGAGTTACAGGGAAGTACTCTGAAAATTCCACATGTGGAGAGGAAGATTTTGGACTTGTTTCAACTGAATAAGGTAGAGTGGTAATGTGCACTTACTCATTTAATAATGTTCCTAACAATGAATTTGATCTTCTTTGCCATAAAAAGAAGCTTACTATTTGAAATATATACAATGAAAGTTTCAGTTTTGTGGAGTGATTAGGGTTGGGCTCCTCCTGACACACCCGGAAGCCTTGTCTTGTGGAACATTTTTGCTGGAACCTATTTTGTCATTTTAAAATTTCATGATAATCCTGCAAACACTTCATTTTCACTGTAGTACAAATAAGCTGAGGCCTGAGAAGATTTAAAAAAAAAAAAGACCAAACTAAAAAAAAAAGTCTGAGCCATAATTTATTTCTAGGTTCCACTGAATTCTAAAGCCTACATTCTTTCTGCAAAATAAAAATCTTCATGGAGAGTTCAAGGGTTACAGAGTAGGACTGGGTACTAAAGTCCTTTCTATAGTAGACATCTAATTGTTAACCTAGACATCAAATTGTTATTTGACTGCTTTGGGGATGTGAGAGGCAGTTTTGGGAGGACAAACTTTATGGGTATTCTGTGAAAAGAGGAGATGTTTTAATTTTCTACCTTAAAATTAATAGCACGGGTATTTTGTCTTTTTACCTGAGAAATGTATTTTTAAAAGGTAGCCATAGGGCTGGGGATTTAGCTTAGTGATCTGGCGTCTGCCTTGCAAACTCAAGGAGGCCTGAGTTCGGTCCCCGGTACCAACAATAAAGTAAAATAAAATAAAAGGTAGCCATAGTGAGGCACATTTCATTCTTGGAGTCATATTGAGGCATCGGAGAATTAAAAGTGATTTCTGTTTAAGCATTTCTAATTTCTTTTGCTATTTTACAGTTAGTTGCGGAAGAAGGTGGATTTGCTATTGTTTGCAAGGATAGAAAATGGACCAAAATTGCTACAAAGATGGGGTTTGCTCCTGGCAAAGCTGTAGGTTCACATATCAGAGGGCATTATGAACGAATCCTCAACCCATACAACTTATTCCTCTCTGGAGACAGTTTGAGGGTGAGTTTTGGTGCCAGCCGTAACCTGCTTTATTTCACTGCTTGTTCATACATTGTCTTTCAGGGGGAATGAAAAGGCCTTGATTATGTTTGAATGACATTATTTAGCAAGGCCATGTTTTGTGGATATTTCCTCTACTGCTTTTATTCTGTTTTTGAGAGTAGCCATACTTAGACATTTGCTGTTTGAAAGAATAAGATTGTAGCCACAATGTCATTTTTCTGGCAAAAGCTGAAATCTGTATTTTCTTCAACTACAGGTATTTTTTTTTACAGCAGTGATATTATTTACTTGTTATGGGTTATGCTTTTGTGTTTACTTGCTATTTAAAGGACTCCTGATTGTCACGTGAAGGTATAGCCTGTGAAATAACTTGCCTGCCCTCTTCTGCCACTTGAGATTCCCAAGGAGGTATTCTGAAATACAGTGCTCACATTTGTAACGGACAGGGAACTTCATAATTCTGCATAACTAGTGGGCTCCTCTTCTCATAGTTCTATCCAGGGCCGGGGATTTAGCTCAGTGGTTCCACCACCTGTCTCGCAAGCTCAAGATCCCAAGTTCAATTCCTGATTAACCCTCCCCCCCCCCCCAAACAAGCTCAAGAGACCAAAAGCAATTCCTGATTAACCCTCCCCCCCCCCCAAAGTACTTCTCATAATTCTATCCAGCTATGTTTGTCTCCATACAGAAATAGTATTTGTAAAAAACCAAAAACAAACAAACAAAACCTTAGCTGGGCGTGGTGGCGCATGCCTGTAATCTCATCACTCGGGAGGCGGAGGCAGGAGGATCGCTGTTGAGTTTGAGACCAGCCTGGACTACATAGTGAGTTCCAGGTCAGTCTCGACTACATAGTGAGACCCTGCCTCAAAACAAACAGAAATGGTATTTGTAATATTTGACTGAAAGCTTTTTATCTAATTGAGGCACAGTTATATTATGGAAGTTTCCCACTTATTTCAAGGCCTTAGTAGAAAGGAGTGTCATAATCTGTTTACATTCTTTGAGTTATCCTACAACTAGAACAGCAACCCTATCACTTTAAGAATTGTTCTTGCACTTTGGAAAGCAAGGTTTCTGTTTTATTTTGTGGAGTTTTGAGACAGGGTCTTATGTAGTTCAGGCTGGCCATTGTGCTCAACAACAATTTCTGAGGGCAAACCAGTAATCAAAACCTTATCCTGCCGGGCATGGAGGTGCGTGCCTGTAATCCCAGAACTCGGGAAGTTGAGGCAAGTGGATTGCTATGAATTTTAGGCCAGCCTGGGCCAAGTAGTGAGTTCTAGGTCAGCCCAAACTACATAGCAAGACCGACCCTTTCTCAAAAAACAAAGTAAAAAACCCTTGTCCAGGGCCAGGGATTCGGGTCAGTGGTTCCACTGCCTGCCTGGCAAGTGCAAGGGCCTGAGTTCCATCCCCGGTAGCAAAAAAAAACCCCCAAACCTTTGTCCTATTATAGACCCATACCATGAATGTAGAATGCTTAAATCCTATAGATTTTCATACCATTTTGATTTTTTTTCCCTTTTTTCGTTCTTGAGTTCAGGTGAATTTTCTTTTTAACCTAGAAGAAAGTGGCCAATGGGATATTCAAAAAGATATTTTTCTTTTTCTTTCTTTTTTTTTTAAAAATGTACATTATAGGGCTGGGGATTTAGCTCAGTGGTGCCGCTGCCTGCCTCACAAGCGCAAGGTCCTGAGTTCAATTCCCGGTACCAAAAACAAAAAAAAAAAATCTCATGATGTTTGTGGGCCCTCTTAGGAAAGAGAAGGTCTCACTTGAAGGTAAGGTAATTAGCATTACCTTCAGTGGTAGTATTTTGTTGTGCTCTATTGGCATTAAATTTCATCTTTCACCCAGTTTAGAATTGAAAAGGGGAAACAAACCCCACAGCAAGTGGAGATTCTTGTTTGAACTTGTTATTGTTGTGGACACCACACAATCTGTGTCTCACGAGGTGGACTTTATAAGATAAGCTGAAGTAAATGGAAACCCTGGTAAGGAAGGATACTTTAGTGCAGTGGCTGTTTTCTCTATTCAGGTGACATATTTGACAATAACTTTGCTAGTTACATCTGAAACTAGAGGATTTTAAAATCTAGAAAACCTATTGGATTCTCTTTTATTGCTTCACTTTTTTTTTTGTACTAGGGATCAAACTCAGGACCTTGTGTCTTCAAGGCAGGTGTGGTGCCTCTGAGCTAAATCTCTGCCCCTATTACTTCACTTTAAAAAAATCTGATGTGGGCCAGGGATTTAGCTCAGTGGTTCTGCTGCCTGCCTTGCAAGCACAAGAACCTGAGTTGGATCTCTGGTACCAAAAAAAAAAAAAAAAAAAAAATCTGACATCCTTAATATGGAAAATTACTGTTGATACTTATAAGGGACCTTTCTAACAATTTGGGTCTAAAGTTAATTGATAGTTGCAAACACAGGAAATAGATAGCAGTTGGCCCATTGGGAGTGCCGTGAGCCTGCTGTGGCTTCTTATAACCCTATGAAATCAGCAGTGAAATAAATTAAGACACCACCATTCATCTATTAGAAAAACATTTTGGCCAGGCGTGATGGAGCATGCCTGTAATCTCAGCCCTTGGGAGTCTGAGGCAGGAGGATCACTGTGAGTTCAAGGCCAGCCTGAACTACATAGTGAAACCCTAACTCCAAAAAAACAAAAAAGGAAAGAAAAAATTTTAAGTCTATATAAGTAGGCTACCCCTATTTATATGCATATGTATGCTTATATCTACAGACTTGTCTTTGTCTTTAAATTTTAAAGAACTGGACATGTTATGTTATTCATATAAATTGTAAGATGTACCTTCTAAAAATAAGCAAATCATTAAGAAAAGAAATTCATCAGTATGATTGTGTTTTATTATTTCTAGTGTCTACAGAAGCCCAACCTGACCACAGACACCAAGGACAAGGAGTACAAACCCCACGACATTCCCCAGAGGCAGTCTGTGCAGCCCTCAGAAACCTGTCCCCCAGCCCGACGAGCAAAACGTATGAGAGCAGAGGTGAGTGCCTTGGGAGGTGGCTGAGAAGGACTTGCTGAGCTCTGGGGCCAAATGGCTGTCACACTGGCTGCTCTTCGCAACATACTCTTTGTGGCTTTCACCTCACAAAGCGATGCTTGGCATACTCGAGCTCTTACCCTTGGGGTGGCAGTGGCGAGGGGGTGCCAGCAAAGGGATAAGAAATTGAAATCTTTCTGGGTTCACGCTGCCTCGAAAGACCTTCCTTGTTATGGTCAAACCTCAGGAAGAATTGGTTCTTGGCGCTCCTATTTGGATTGCCTATAAACCTCACAAAATTAGGCGATGTTCATTGGCCGTGAAAGGTGGGAGATGTGAAGTTGAGTGTTTTTTTTTTTTTTTTTTTTTTTTTGTACCAGGCATCAAACTCATGACCTTGCACTTGGCTTGTGCAGGGGCACCACTGAGCTAAACTCCTGGCCTGAGGAGTTTTTAATAGAGAGGTTAAAATATAGTGAAAGCTGTTTTTCTCCAACTTACAGAGGAGGAGTGTGGACTCACTGGCACATACCTTATGCTAAGAGAAAAGTTAGAAAGCATGAAGTGTAGCATTAAACAAATAGGATGAAATAAAAGCACAGGAGGAAGATCAAGAGGAGTAAAAGATTGATAATAAAGCCGGGTGTGGTGGTGCACACCTGTCATCCCAGCACTTGGGAGGCTGAGGCAGGAGGATAGCTATGAGTTTGAGACCAACCTGGGCTACATAGTTCCAGTTCAGTCTCAACTACATAGTGAGACCCTGTCTCAAAAAAAAAAAAAAAAAAAGATTGATAATAAAGATTATTTGTTTTAAAATTTGTCTGCTCCGAGGTTTCCCTGAGGAAAGGAAGAGTATTTTCCCAGTTACTTTGTTACTTACAGAATTGTGGAGAGGGTAGATTCCTGTCTAGCCGGATGGTATGTAAATTGAGCTGGAAAGACTCATACTGCAGTAATCAGACTTATAAATTAATTTCTGGTTGTTTATATTTTTTTTAGTTACTATAATTACAATATTTAATTATTTTTACAAGAGGTCTGCTGGTCCATTCAATTAAATTTGTTCTCAGAACCATTACATTTCTTGCTGAATCTCATTTAGAGCCCAAGCAAGTTGGTTAATTTTTACTTCCATCGCTTTTTTGTTCTTGCATGTTTCTTCCAAAAGTTCAAGCATTTCTCCTTCAACTTGATGAACCTTTAAATTTGCAGAATCAATGCATTTCTGTTTTTCACTTGCCAGTTGTACTATTTCAACTTGACGAACTTCAATAATTGCATCTACTTGTTTTTTAAAGGTATCATCCACACTGTGAAGCTCTTTGACTGCATCCTTTTGTAGTTCAATACTTTTGTCCCTTTCTGTTTTCAAATTTTTCTTTCACTTCTCTTACTTGTGTTTCAAGATGGCTTAGAAGTGCTCCTTTATCATGCCATTTCTGATTAAGTGTACTTTTTAATAGAGTGTACTTTCTTATTTCTTCAAGTTCTACTTTCTTTGCTTTCAACTGTTCTTTCAATTTTTTTCTTTCATTGTGCCTTTCTAGTTTTCCTGTTATCCAGCTGTAAAGATTTTCATCCTTATTGTTGAGCACATTTTTCTATTTCAGTGATCTTTTCTTGTAATATTTTGATTTGTTCATATTGCTGTTTAATAATTGTCAAAGATGAAAATTAGCCATTTTATTTTCTAAAGATTAGATAAATAAGATAATTGTTTTTCATTTTGATAAATTGAAGATGCTAAAAAATTTGGTGGACCTGTTTTTCTGAATTAATAGAATAGGAAAATAAAGATTTTGAAGTTCATAAGCATGTTTAAGGTCCGTTAATGCAAGAATCATTTCTTCCTGAGATAATTTGTTGATCTTTAGATGTATATGCAGTGAATGCCCTCGTGCTATGGATCCCTAGGTCTGCCCGGGTGATACCCAGTGGTAGTGATTGCACCCGTGGAAGAAATTGTACGAGCTGTGGGTATCCGAGTCTGTTCACGCCTGGCCACATGTAGAGTGACGTGTAGTTCCACAATGCTTCAGTGTTAGTGGAGCGCAGGAATTATTTTATTTGCTTTTCCAACAGACACCAACACTTAAGAAACGATAGAAACTGAGGCAGGTTTATATGTCCTCAATCTGGAGGGAATTTTTAACAGTTTAGTGATGTTAGAAGTGCGGTATTTATGTAACTCCTTGGGATTTAGCTTAGTGAGAATTGAATAAAGAACAGAGAATAGATGAGAACTGAGACTCTCTAGGATTAAAAAAAACGATAATTTCTATATTGAGTAGTAATATTTGTAATTTGTTCCCGATTTTTTGCCCCCCTTCCCCCATTATTCAACCTAGGAGCTGTGATTGAAAATTGAGGTGAATATTAAATTTTTCATTTTATTTATTTATTTATTTTGATACCAGGGATTGAATTTAGGCTCTTGCGCTTATGAGGCAGGTGGTAGAACCACTAAGCCAAATCCCTGTCTTCTTTTTTTTTTTAATTTATTTTAAATTTATCATAAAAACACATCACACCACAATTGCCTTCTAAATATTCTGCTCCTATTCAAACACACATCCTAAACATTCTTGCTACCAGGGACTGAACTCCTGTCCTGACACTTGTGAGGTAGGTGCAGTGTCACTGAGTTAAATCCCGGCCCGTTCTCACCACTTTTTTTTTGTACTGGGGATCAAACTCGGGACCTTGTGCTTGTGAAGCAGGTGGTGGAGCCCCTGAGCTAAATCCCTGGCTCTATAGAAAGTACATGGCGGAACCGCTAGTATATTAGTTACTTTATTTTTTTTTTTTGTACCAGGGATTGAACTCAGGACCTTGTGCTTGCAAGAAGTTTCACCACTGAGCTAAATTCCTGGCATCTTGCCATTTTTGAAGTACAGACATTCCTCTTTTTTTTTTTTTTTGGTACCGGGACTCGAACTTGGGACCTTGCACTTGCAAGGCCGGCCGCGAACCGCTGAGTTAAATCCTCAGCCCCAACATTCCTCATTTAATGACAGAGTTCCATTCTTTTTTTTTTTTTCTGGCACCCGGGATCAAACTCCAGAATCTGTGCTTATAAGGCAGGCGGTGGAACCACTGAGCTAAATCCCCAGCCCCAGAGTTCCATTCTTGAGACTCTAGTTGTTAATTGAATTGGTTGCTGAATGAGGAATTGTATATAGTATGTATATTCAGAACAAAGAAGTGGTTAAAGCAAACTCCAACTTGGTGCCTGTTTTTATTTGCATAACTCTTACATGTACTGTAATGTGTAATAGAACATAAAAACTACAGTACTCTAAGGTACAATCAGCAAAAATTTTAGTACTTTATAAATGGTGTACTGTACTAAAAAAATCGAGGCTCTATAAACAAGATGTACAGAACTGTACAAAAAAAGAAAAGAAAAATGGTTTGTAAGTCATTATGTCAGTAGGTCATCAAACAAAGAATAGCTGTAGTTCTGGTAGTCCTCTTCCTTGAATGTCTCTATTTGGGCTTTTGTGGCTGCCTGAATGTCCTGAATCCGTTCAAAGCTTGTACCTTTTGTGATCATTTTGACTTTGGGGGGAAAAGCCAGAAGTCAACACGTGTCCAATCTAGTTAATAAGATAGATGAAAATACACTAAATTGATTTTACAAGCCTACTTTTTCCATTGTTGGATGATACCCAGCAGCAGAATTCACCATATGTTGAATCATACCTTGTAAAGACACTCGTGAAGAACACTTCCAGAACTACTTCAGAAAGTGGCAAGAATGATGGGATATATGTGTAAAATGAATACTTCTTTCTGTTACAAGAAGCATTCATGTATCTGACAATTTTTTTAAGGCTATGAATATTAAAATAGAACCAGAAGACACTACAGAAGCCAGAACTCATAATCTGAGACGTCGGATGGGTTGTCCAACTCCAAAATGTGAAAATGGTAAGATAATTTATCTCTGAATAAGAAAGAAAAAGTAAAGAAGCAAAAGTAACTATTTGTTAAATTAAGTAGATGTTAGAGGTTGCATAAGAAAGTACCACAGAATTACCCAAAATTATGTAGTATTACTAAGTTGGGCTTTGAGAAATCTTCTGTGCCAGTGTTCTCATAATTAATTGGCCATTGGGAAAGAGCAACAAGCATGTGCTTATTAGCAATGTAGGTGAATCTCTCAGATATAACAAGTTGCTTCTTTGAAATTTAGTCCAGTGCATTCATTGCAAAATGGTGATTTGAAAGTATAAGTATCTTTGACTATCTCACGGATTTGTTTTAGACAAGGCAGAGAGAGAGGGAGGGAGGGAGGAGAGAGAGAGAGAGAGATTGTAAGTCTGAATTTTATTAAGTCACTGAGAGGTAGCTTTAGTATTCTCTTAGGAGAAATCCTATATGCCAAATAGGAGGCACATGCAAATGAAGAAATCATTGAAATTAGCTTTTACTGATGAATAAGTTAATGGAAAGGTCATACAGTCTAGTGGGAAGTAATGAAATGAATCCCAATCCTGGTTCAACTACTAACTAGTTGTATATAAACTTTGAGGGGTTTTTTTTTTTGTTTTTTTTTTTTTTTGTGCCAGAGATCGAACTCGGGTCCTTGCGATTGCGATGCAGGCAGCGGCACCACTGAGCTAAATCCCTGGCCGGGGATTTTTTTTTTAATTAAAAAAAAAGTTTTAGTAGACGTTTGCAGTATGTGATGGTTATTCATTCATTTTGTCTTTTAACATCAGTTTTTTAAGTATTAGAAATGGATTTGTTGTGAAGGATTAAATACTTTCTAGAAGCATTTGGTATAGCACAGTAATTAATTACCAGGGTTTTTACCAATTTTAGTCAAATTGTCAGTCTCTGGACCAGAAAATCGTCTTAGATCTTAGAGAAAAGTGTGAAACATGAAGGAGGTCCAGTTGAACTGTTAGCCTCTCAGTTATCACCATGACTCAGTATCTGCTATGTGTTGGTCTTAGGAAAATTCTGTTAGGTCCTGGTCTGAAGGCATACAAAGGTGAGCAACATGTACCCCACCCCTTGAAAATTAATGGGAATGAGAGTGCATTTTATCATAAAGCAGCCAGTATCGAGTCCTTGAATATGGTGACCCTGGTGCTGCTGTGATGAAGACAGTTAAGCTTGTGTACAGTGTGTGCTGTGGAAGGGAGGCGATGAGATGAGGGAGGAAGCAGAGGAGAGCACAGTGCAGAACGAGCTGACTTTGGATTGCCTCCTGCAGAGAAAGAAATGAAAAGTAACATCAAACAAGAACCCTTTGAGAAGAAAGATTATATTGTAGAGAGTGAGAAGGAAAAGCCCAAGAGTCGATCTAAAAAAACCACCAATGCTGTGAGTTGACATCTCCTTTTCTCCTTTCCCCATGTCTTCTTTTCCTCATTCCATTCCTTTCTTTCATCTCCTTTGCCCCAAGCTGATCGTTTGTAGCTTTCCTGAAGATTGGCTATCTTAAGTGTCTGACAACAACAGCAAAGCATCTCTTCAAGTCAGTTTATAGTGCTGTCAGTTTATAAAAGAGGAAATGCTGGATTACATTGTGAAGATGGTGGTAACACCTGGGTAAGGGTTAGTGGCATCCTGTGTTCTGGAGCACAGTTTAGCACAGAGTAGTGGTGAGTGTCATAGGCAGGATTGTTCATAAATCACTAGCCCACCCCTGGAGGAGCTGAAAGCTAGATAAAAAACCGACATAGTTGGTAGTTTTCAACTACCCAGTTAGCAAAGGAAAGGAAATTGATGGAATGAAAAGGGAAAGGAGTCAGGCATTAGTTGTGAGGATATGGCAGGGTTAGGGATCTGGTCCCTCTTTTGGAAACCTTGATTACAAGTGAAGCTTGAGGACATTGGAATGTGGCTGGTGACCCATGTTCATCTTTCCCTTCCCTTCTGAGAGCTTTGTATCTCAGAATTAGAAGGTGGATTGGGGGAAGGGGGCATTGGATTTTTTTTATTAGTACATAATGATTACATTCATCATGAGGGTTGATACATGGACATAATGCATCTTAGTTTCTATGCCCCTTCCCTATCTCCCTCTCTTTCCTGGAATTAGAAGTAATTCTAATGGAATGTATTCTTTATAAATATCATCTCTGCCCCTCTCCCACCACATATACACGCACGGATATAATTATAAAATTGGCAGAGCCCGGATTTTTATTTCCCACAATAAAGAGGCTGAAAAGGTAAAATTCCCTGTCAAGCTGAAGGTTAGGGGTAATGTTAGTTTGCTGTGGATTGCATAAGAAAGTACCACAGATTGGTTGGCTTGAATAACAGAAATTTCTTTGCAGTTCTGTGGTCTGGGAAGTCTGAGATGTAGGTGTTGGCAGGGTTGCTTTCTTCTAAGGTCACCTTCCTTCTCTTTGGCTGTAGATGGCTGTCTTCTCCATGTCTCCACGTAGTCTTTACTCTGTGTCCATATCTATGTCCTAATCTCTTTTTATAAGGACACCCATGATAGTGGAGTAGACCCACCCTATTTTATTTTAATCGTTTTATCATAAGTTACTTTTTTTGGGGGGGGTACCAGGGATTGAACTTAGGAGGACCTTACACTTGAGAGGCAGGTGTGGCAGCACTGGGCTAAAATCTCCAGCTATCTTAATTATTTCTTAAAGGCTCTTTCTACAGAAATAGTCACATTCTGAGATACTGAGGGTTAGGACTTCAAAATATGAATTTTGAGGGAATATAGTTCAACCCATATGAGATAAAGAACTATGCTTTATCACTGGGTATTTGGGAACCTTCTTAGCTATGACCCCTTATTTAGAATTCAAAGTGGTGGCTTAATGGTACGCAGTTAATGTTAAATGAATCTTTCCATTTATATATGGCAAAATAGAATTCTTCCTTCCTAAATTCTACTTTTAGTTAAGCTGGTAATTTATTACTTAACACCTTATTCTTCTAGAAGTCTGTCTTTAAACTACCAAAATCTGTCTATTTAACACATTTTGCTGGCTTAACCACCTGCAGTATGTGCATGACCGTCTCATTGGACAGCTTGTACCACCTGATGGACTGTCCCATGTTGCCCGATGGAACAGTTGGGAATGTATCGCCAGTGGTTCAGAGCCACATGGCAGCAAGAAACAAATTACAGCTCTGTTGTTAATGTTACATAACAACTGAGAAACCTAGAACATACTTTAGAGTCAGAGCTGCATGTGTTGTAGTATTCCTTATAGAAGGTGAACTCTTTGAAGCAGCAAAGAATATTTTAGATCCATTTCATTCTTAGAAGTTTACAGTGTCAATTAAGAGCTCATGTTCCTTTGTTCTCTGTGCATTTTCATTGCTGCAGGTGGACCTGTATGTCTGTCTCTTATGTGGCAGTGGCAGTGATGAGGACCGGCTTCTCTTGTGTGATGGTTGTGATGACAGTTACCATACCTTTTGTTTGATCCCACCTCTCCATGATGTTCCCAAGGGAGACTGGAGGTGTCCTAAGTGTTTGGCTCAGGTAAGAATTAATGACAGAGGTAGTTAGCATTAGAAACTTTGCTTCAAGGCATTTTTGTTTGCCTATGGGTTTTAGATTTGGCAGTGGATAATGATGAAGCCCATGAATAAAACTGAACTGGACCTGTGAGAAAGAAAAGGGTCCTGGAAAGGGTTAGGTGAGAGGTGGGAAAAAAATTTTTTTTGGTACTGGGGATTGAATTTAGGACTAGCCCTATGCTATTGTTTGTTTTTGAAAATTTCATTGGAAAAAGCACTACACTACATGCTCTTTGGAAGAATTCTTAAACACTGAATAATTTAAAACAGAGGTATGATTTCACATAGTGATTAATATATTATATATTTATCTATACTTAGAACTGTAAACAGGGCTGGGGATTTAGCTCAGTGGCACCACGCTTGCCTCGTAAGCACTAGGGCCCGAGTTTGATATCTGGTACCAAAAATCAGAACAAAACTATAAACAGGTTGAATTACATTGCATAAGTTTTTTAAAATTGTCTAATGTTTTGGTTTCTTTTCATGTAGCACTGATCTTACTGATACTTTTAGTAAAATATGAAAAGGATTTTAATTAATATGGATTATTTTGAAGTATGAAGCAGTCAAAATAGTATTGCATTTTGTGTTGTGGTTAGATTATAGTAGTAAATTAATGCCTGTAGTGAGTCTGACTTAACATTGGTTCTGGGTGTTCAAATCGACTGGCTTAGTGTGATCTTTGGCAGTGTGTAATACCCCTGTTAACCTCCAGTTGTTTTTTTATGGTATTAGGTTATGACAACCATTCTGTTTCATTGGTGTTTTGCCTTCGTTTCGATCTATTTTATAGATTTGGTGTTGACTTTTTTAGATTTAATGTTCAGGATGACATCCTTCTCATTTTCATTATGGAAACATTTGATGCTGAAAGAAGTCAAAGTTTTAGACTGTCTCTTTATAAATGTTTAAATTACGCTACTCTGTTATGGCTGTTAAAATAGATACTTTATTTGCTCAATAGCAAATAAAATGTATTTCATTTGCTCAGTAAAACAACCTCATTCTTTTTAGGCAGGTTTATTTTTCTAATGTAGACCTCTTAAATTAAAATGATTTTATGTGTTCTTTTGACAGTTGACCAAATAATTGACCTTTTTCGGTGTCATGTAAACACAAATTTGCTTTTTTTGTTTGCAGGAATGTAGTAAGCCACAAGAAGCATTTGGCTTTGAACAAGCAGCCAGGGACTATACCCTTCGTACTTTTGGAGAAATGGCAGATGCATTCAAATCTGATTATTTCAACATGCCGGTCCATGTATGTACTTACATACTGCTCTGATTTAGGATTTTAATAACTTTTGGAGAAATGTATACCTGAAGATAGCTTTGAGTGGAGTCTCACACTGAGTCATTATGTAGAATGAAACTTTCTTTTTTTTTTTTGGAGACAGGATCTCACTTACTATATAGTTCAGACTGCTCTGGAACTCACTGTAGCTCATGCTGTTCTCATACTTGCAGTGATCCTCCTGCCTCAGCCTCCTGAGTGTTGGGATTACAGGCATGTACCACCACCCAGCAGCTGAAACTTTTAAAATATGATTAGTGGTATTAAAATTCTATAGTGCTGTACTTTAAAATGTGTTCTGATATTTCATTCAAGGGTTTCACTAGAGATATCTCTTTTCACACAAATTGCACACAACAGTAATATAGGACCAGTAAAAAATTACCAACAGTCCTTTCAGCACAACACATGTAATTTAAAGGAAACTTCAAAATGCATTTTATTTTTGCTGTTTTGAGACAGGGTCTCATATATAATTTAGGTTGAGCTTGAATTCACTGTGTAGGCTAGGCTGGCCTGGAACTCATGATGATCCTCCTGTCCCAGCCTCCCGAGTAGTGTGGTTACAAACATTCACTACCACGCTGGGCTCACAAAATTTTTTGAGTGACTGCTGTGTTTCAGCCAGTGTGCTATGCCTTGGGAACACATTTATTATATATTACTGTGAAATCCTAAATTACTGTTTTAAACTTGAGGATAAGATACCATTTTTAATTCTGTTAGTCACTTAAGTGCATAAGTATGATTCATTCAGCATTTACTATTTCATCAAATGAGTACACCAGAATTAAATAGTTTCCTACAATAATTGTGGATATTTGAGCTCTAGTTTTCCTTAGTACTATGCTGTAACAAATGTGTCATGCATGTAGATCTCTGTAATTGGATTTTCTTCTTGAGATCAGTGAGGTCAGATGAATGTATTTGTCCCTCATCTCACACCAGTAGCTGTATCAACTTATGTAACCCCACAGTATATTAGCAAACCTGTTTTCCCTAACATGACTAACGTGTTCTGTTAAGTGTTTATCTGCTAATGGGCTTAAATTTAAACTCCATTTGAATTTTTAGTTCTTTTGACTCCTGCATCATAGTATTTCCCTACAAATTTTCTTAACCATATAACCTCTTCTTTGGTTGGCTTTTTTTTTTTAAAGATGACCACATTCATCTATACATATTTAAGTTACTTGGCTGTAGACTCAAATAGATTAACAGATCTTTGACAGTTTGGTGACTCTTTATTCTAAGACTACTGCTGCAAAGTAACTGACCTTTGTATTCATAACCTGCACCCTGTCTTTTCATTGCTTGTCTACATTATGCTCAGCCAGGTCTATTGGAAATGATAAAAGGATGGACCTGGGGGCCGGGGATTTAGCTCAGTGGTGCTGCTGTCTGAGTGGCAAGCGCAAGGTCCTGAGTTTGATCTTCAGTACCAAAAAAAACCCAAAAATCATAACAAAACAAAACAAAAAAGGATGGATCCGGATAATGTGTTCAAAGGCATCATTTGGACACAGCTATCCATTATTGCTATACAGTTGCCAACCAAATTGTATACTACATCTCTCAAACATTTCCAATTTGTAAATATCAACATTTTACTTTGTTTGGCTCCCTTTTACAACTGTGGCCAAGTTTGTGATAGAAGAATATGAATTCTTCATTCTTCATTGTTGTTTTAAATTTTTATAATTTAAATTGGTTTAATCTTGAAGCATAATCCAACGAGACTGAAAATTAAACATTTTAAGTCTTGTACCAAATAGTAAAATACTCGAAGGCCTTCAGGATCCTTTGACTGATTTGCATCAATAAGGGACCCTATCTTTGATGTGCTAAAAGAAATATGTTCATCTCCAATTACAATTTCAAGCTCCTGCTGGCCAACCTGCTGGGATGGTCACAAAGCGCCATCTTCGGTAACTTCATTGTCATTAGTAATTCTCTTCAGTTCTTCCATTACACTTTTGCGGACATTCGCCTCTTTTCTGATCGTGACATCATTTTTGTAATTGCTGTTGTTGGTGTATCTAAGCTTTCTGTCCAGCCAAAACTTGAACTCCAAATCTTGTGTCTGAACTTTCCCTATATCCTACGTAGTAGTGCAGGTAGAATCACTAGCCATAGATGTTTCTGTTCCCTGAAAATGCATCAAGAGCCCAGCAAATGTGCCTGTTTTTTATTTTTTGAGACAGGATCTCGCTATGTAGTTCAAGTTGGCCTTGAGCTCACTATGTAGCCCAGGCTGTACGATGAATTCTCCTGCCTCAGCCCCCTGAGTGCTGAGATTATAGGTGTGCACCTCCACACCTGGCAGAATTCTTAGTTTGTTTTAGTTATTTGTTTCTTTTTGTTTTTATTTGCTTATCATAAAATTCTTTGAGATGTTGCCTGAATTGTTGTGAAATCAATTATGGACCATTACAGACAGAATTTTTCTTTAGAAGGCCACTCTTGATTCCTGTCTCTTAACTAATTTACCAAGTCAAATTGGTCACAGGCAGTTTGGTGAATGAGTGAAAAAACTCATTTTTTCCCTTCATTATATTTCCAGATGGTTCCCACAGAGCTGGTCGAGAAAGAATTTTGGCGACTGGTAAGCACTATTGAAGAAGATGTCACAGTGGAATATGGAGCTGATATTGCTTCAAAGGAATTTGGCAGTGGCTTTCCTGTCCGAGATGGAAAAATCAAACTTTCACCTGAAGAAGAGGTAGGCCCAAGCTGTGGGACACTTTAGTTTATGGGGGAGCTCTGCATTTAAAGCTGCAGTCAGCATGCCATCGATCTACAGGATATAATACGGGATTAATGGTAGCACTATGGGCATGGTGGTACGTGGCTGGAATTCCAGCTCTTTGAAGGCCAGGGCAGAGGGATCATAAGTTCAAGGCCAACCAGAACTACATAGTGGCTCCTGTCACAAAAAAACTTTTAAAAGACATTAAAAAAAACAAAACAAAACACACACCTTACCTGTTAAACATAAAAGCCCATGTAAGTGGGTTGGAAATGTAGTTATTTATTGAAATTGTTTGATCACCTTGGTTACTTTCAGCAAATTTTTACTCACCTGACTTTCACTGATTTCAAGAAAACTGGAAAGACCTAATTGCTAATTGCTACTACATTGTGGCAACAAAGGAAAATTACTTAACCATCTTTTGACTTTAGGTTCTATAACCTTGGTTTCTCCTCCTTAAAAAATCAGAGGAGTAGAACTCATACCTATTTATATCTTTAAACATTTTTTTTATTAGTGCGTGATTGCAGTACCTAATATTTACATTTGTTGTATGGACCTGGTGCATGTGCATAACACATTTTAATTCCCTTCATTCTCTGTCCCTCTCCTCCCTTCCCCCTCCATCTCTTGATCCTCTTGTCATTGGAGAAAGACCTTCCACCAACTCCTGTTATCTTTTATTTTTCTCTTTATAATTTGAGCTTGTGTGTCTGATATACTTCATGTAATATTACCCGTTTTCCTATAAAGGACTCAAATTTTTCTTTGTGGTAGAGTAATACTCAGCTGTCCATAAACCCCACATTTTCTCTGTCCACTCATCTGTTTATGGACACAAAGGCTGCTTCCAAGATTATTTAGCTACAGTGATTGTACTGTTGTAAACATGAGTATGCATGGATTACTCTAACATGATGGTCTTTACCTCTTTGCAAAGATAACTAGAAAGGGCTTAGCTGGGTCAAATGGAATATCTGGTTTTTGAGGATAATGGCATAATGGCATTATGGAAATAACTTTCCAGTGTCCATTCCCTCCAACAATGTAGAAGGCTTCCTTTCCCTCACAGCCTCACCTGCATGGGTCTAGAGTTTTTCACACCCATCAGCTTATAGAAAGATTTTTGTTCCCATCCTGGTAAGAGGTGAAGTTTAAAAAAAAATTTTTTTTTAAATCTAATATTCACAGAAAAGTACATAATCATATAGCTTGACAGATATTTGCAAACTGAGCACACCCATGTAACCAGCACTAGAACAAGAAACAGAATATTCCCAACCCTCTAGAAGGTCTCCCATTGCCCTCTCCCTGACCCTGTCTCAAAAAAAAAAAAAGTATACACTATTTGAGGCCATAAAACCTGTCTAAAAAAATAACAAAACCAAACCAAAAAACCTAACTTACGGGCATCCTTCCACTCCTCAACCAGCCTGCTATTTTGAAGGAGACTCTTTTCAGACAGCTTTTAGAGGCAGAATTCTAAAGTTGTTAGCATGCTACAGCTAAAACCTTCACCCTCTTTTGTCTTCTTACTTTTAGGAATATCTTGATAGTGGCTGGAATCTGAACAATATGCCAGTGATGGAGCAGTCTGTCCTTGCTCACATTACTGCAGACATATGCGGCATGAAGCTGCCTTGGCTGTATGTGGGAATGTGCTTTTCTTCCTTCTGTTGGCATATCGAAGACCATTGGAGCTATTCAATCAACTACCTGCACTGGTGAGCAGTCACTGTAACCTGTGAGCAGAAATGTGGGCTGAAGAGGAAAACTTTCCTCTTGCACTCAGACATGTCTCAGTTGAGTCTGAAGAGTAGTGACGTGCACACACACACCACTGTTAGAATAAACATTCTTTCAAGTTAAGACAGTGGTTCATAAAGCTTCCTAGAAAGTCCCGTGGATCCTGCTACACTGTTTTGTAAGTGTAGCATGTTTTGGGGATAGGATGTTTTTTGTCTGAAGTAAGTTGTTAACTTTGGAAAGGCTAAAAGGCACTGAACCTTGCTTGCACTGTGGGCAGTCTCATTTGGTGACAGTGGTAACCCAGATGGCCCTATGGGAAAGGAGCCAAGGTATAGGTACATCATGTCTTCTTCTAGGTCCTTGGGGTTGCCAGCTTCTTCTTCTTTTTTTTTTTTTTTTTTTCCT